CCAGAAACAATGGAGTATTATAAAGGTGAAGAAGGCCATTACGAGTTAATTCCCAATGAAGAATATGATGAACAACTGTAGAGTTGGTCCGATGAAGAGGCTGGCTATGAAGCACCACCATGGTCTGGAGATGACTATTCAAGTTCTGAATTTGAAGATGAACCAGACGGTGAAGCTTTTAAACCAAAGCCACCAGACTATGAAGAAAGTGATTCACAATTCAGTGGAGAAGAAACAAAGCAGTATGATGAAGAAACTTAGCACCATGAGATTGAATCCGAAGCTGGAGAAGCATGGAATGAAAGAACTGATTCCGAAATCAGTTATGAAACTAAACCAGAGTGTGAGGAAGAAGAGGAAGTCCACAACGATTCAGCAACCAACTATGGAGAAGATTATGAACATGAAGAGGCTAAATTGTTTGATGAAAAACCATGGGATGACGAAGCTGCTGCAGAAGATAGTTATGCAATGAATCATAACCAAGCTACGAAGGTGAATCAATGTTTGAAGAGGAGGCCGAGCCCTTCAACAACACTAATCAATCTGAATCATGTGAGTATTCAACAGAGGATAAGGTAGAATTCGAATCCTATCCCATATGTTTTTCAGGTCATAGTGATATAAGATCGGAATCACTCCAATTCTAAGACCACTCGATGATCGAGAGAGTCCAAGCCTAGACTTGCGAAATGTGGAAATGATGGTAGAGATGAAGGGGAAGTGATTGACTCGCTCAATCAATTGGACGAACAACTTGTTGAGTCACACAACAAACACATTCGTGGCTTCAAGAGAGGATGGTGTATCGCACACTAAACTCAAATGAAAGAACTCAAAGAAGACTTATCTTTGAAGAAAAACAATACGTTTGTATTTAGCTATGATCGAGGGTGAATACAAAGATGAAATCGCTTGAGCTTATAAAGGCTCAACACTTGGGACTAGTACAACGTTCTAATGACTTAAAAGGAAATAAAATGCACGAAATTAAATTGAAAAGATCATAAACTCGTGGGCTCTTGTATCTTGATAGCTTTTGGATGATTCCATGACTTGTTAGTCTTCTAATACCTCCCTTAGTATTCACCAAATCAGAATATAGCCATTGGGGATGAGATTTGAATGCTCTCCAGTCTATTTTTGGTAAGTCTTGGTGTATGGTGTTGTAAGATTGGATCCGCCTGATCCAATGGTCATTGTTGCACATGAATATCCTCCCCCAAGACCTTCTAAATGATTTAAAAGCTCCCCTGGCTGCCACACATAGGTTTGCAAGGATCCAAAGTTGGAAAACTCCATATAAGGCAAGACTAGGATTCTCTGGTTTAAAAAATCAATAACTTTCAAGTTTAAACCAGTATTGGACTAATACCAACTTTCCGTGTGCCTCTCTGATGAGTCAAGATTCCAGACCAAGTCGTTTCATATCTCAAATCCTCACGGTTTAGTCGTAATGCTCCAATGAATGCATGTTGGTCCAAAACAGGTAAGTTGTATTTTACCCGGTTTGTAAAACTCATAACTTCTTCATATGAACTTATACTGGGACGAATCCAACTCGAGGTGATCGTCCGATGAGTTAAGTTTCTGGAACAAGTTGATTTGTCTCTTAACTCCCCTTGGTTCGTCCTGAAAGCTCCTTGGAAGGCACCTATGTCCTTGCTGACTTCTAGTCGGTTTAAGATGTCACCCTTTTGGACCTCTGGTTTGGATAATGGTCTGATGTCCTCATCACATAGCCAAGGACCAGAAGCTTACCTAAGATGGGAGAGAGATGGAAGATTGGCTTCAAGCTAACAACATTCCCGAGGAGGAGAAGACGTCTTATGCCGAAGATACACTCACCAAGGATGCCTTTCGAGAATGGGATTTAGAAGTTAATATTCGGCTTGAGTATGATGTACCAGATGCTATGTGGGAGGAGATGAAACAAATGTTGTATAAAGAATTCGTGGAAGAAGCTTCAACCACTCAACAAAGCTACATTAAGATATATACCAATCCTGAACCAAGGAAGTGGATTCTAGCAACAAGGTCTTATCCAAAAGCAAAGCAAAAGAAAGCTTTATGTCCGGAGCCAAAGAAAGTGTTCCCAACAACTATAGAGGAGAAGACAAGGGCTAAGAAACAATTTGGAGCTAAGGATGTAAAACCAGATCCAAAAC